CTCGTAGTCTACCTTGCTGTTGAGGCGGCTGGAGCGAATGCGACGAGCTTATTGTGTGACCCAGGTTGAGCTATGTTTCTTAACCCTANTCCGCCGCTGCCACGACACTCTCGCGATGACCCCTATCCCCCGCGAGCGCTGCCACTGCTGCTGTAGCCGCGCAAATGAGCGAGAACTCGTAGTCTACCTTGCTGTTGAGGCGGCTGGAGCGAATGCGACGAGCTTATTGTGTGACCCAGGTTGAGCTATGTTTCTTAACCCTATTTCTTATTTTTCGTGAAAAAGTGAGCCTCAATTTCTTAACAAAATATTTCTTTACTGCGGGCGCCAACTGTATACATCCTCCGAGTATGTATGCAAAGATGAACTGCTACGACCTTGATTAGAACGACATCGTTTTGGCGACGGGGCGTGCTCGGACGGGGTCGAATCTTAATACTATTATTGTTTTGTTCGCCTTCCGACAATTGCAGATGTACCTCAGAAAACTTTCACTTTATGTCTCATACTCCATGAATATTAAACCAATACGAAGTACAACAACATATATATGTAGGACGTATTTCTACTGTCACTTACATCGTATAAATATCTCCTCTTCAATTTGAAATAAAACCAATGACAATCCTCATGGTATCCTACATGCGTTCGTAAGCTTGCTAAAATACTACTGCGTTGATGTCCTCCTGTAAAGCTGAAATCCAACAAATGCTTTGATCCCTGCTACATCTCCGTCTTGGAAAAGCCCTTTCTTCTCCGTTGATGATAACATCTTACCCTATTCTACGCAAATCTGTCACATCTACTCTCAAACAAGACGCCAACTTCAAACGACAACGCGTTCCACGATGCGTCTACACTCCATCCCCATATCATTGGCGTTGACTGGTTCGAGGTCGATCTTGTTCGCCTGTTTTCGGCGTCTTGACGCCCGCGCAATGCGAGCTTGTACCTCTGCACTCGCCGAGATATGGCCACCTGTGTAGCCACCGAAACGATCTGAAGAAGTCGTTCCTTGAAGACTCCTTTCAGAGCCATCGTTCCTCCGTCCCTTCCTCCCACGGCATGTGTCGCAAGTTCATCGATGAACTCGTAACCCTCCTCTCCAAGGCGGCCAAAGCTTTCCACGGCTAAGGTGGTAGGTTCAAAGCTACGTTCGTCAAAGGACACGAATTTTAATTAATTTATTTATTTTTGCCTTCCGACAATTGCAGATGTACCTCAGAAAACTTTCACTTAATGTCTCATACTCTACATGAATATTAAACCAATACGAAGTACAACAACATATGTAGGACTTATTTCTACTGTCATTTACATCGTAAAAGTATCTCCTCTTCAACTTACCAATGACAATCCTGATGGTATCCTATATGCGTTCGTAAGCTTGCTAAAATACTACTGCGTTGATGTCCGCTTGTAAAAGCTGAAATCCAACAAATGCTTTGATCCATGCTACATCTCCGTGTTGGAAAAGCCCTTTCATCTCCGTTCATGATAACATCTTACCCTATTTTACGCAAATCTGTCACATCTACTCTCAAACAAGACGCCAACTTCAAACGAAAACGCGTTCTAATGTAAAGCCCCGGCATTCCGCCCACATTGCCTTCGCATAGCGGCGTGCAGGTTTTTTCCTATCCAACAGCCACGGCTTAACGTTTTGTGTTCAAAGAAAGAAAACATATCGGCCATTTTGCAAGTGCCGACAAACAAAATACTTTCTCAATAAAAGAGTTATTCTCAATCATCAGGATCGCCTATTCTACCGCTCGCTGTGCTGGTTGATGTTCTGTGGGGGGTGGTGTGCTCGTTGGCTCGACACTGCTGTTAGTAATAAAGCGCATTCAACATTCGATGCCCCTTGAAGATATGCGTGTCCGCGCCTGCAAAAATGTTAGTTCCTATCTGCGCACGGTGGAAAGACTTTATATTGTGGTTAAGTTGACCAGCATCAAATAAGCGAATTTTGTTTCCTGGGCAAACACGTCATTGTGGGTATGATAGAAAAACGCGTGTCGGAAAAACAGACAATAGCAGCCAAAAAGGACAAATAGCAAGGAAGTAGTGACGCAAGACCAAAACCAAGGCCAAAAAGGACCACAAGGCCAAGACCCCACACGCCCAAACGACCAAACGACCAAACAGCCAACTGGCCGCATCCAACCAACCATTGGCCCAGCTGGCTTAGAGGCCGAGAGCAAAAGGGGGGGGGAATGATCGAAAGGGAGAGCATGCAGACAGAAAAAAAAAAACGACACAGAGAAAGAAAAAGAAATCCAGGGAAGAAATGAAAAGAAGAAAGAGGAAAAACATAGTACAGAATGACAGGGAGACCAGAGACGATATCAGTCGGGTACATAGTTCGCCACGAACGCGACCCCTGCGGCCCGATTTTCTTCAACGGCGGTTTCGCCTGCCTATTCAGTTCTTTTCCTCTCCCGCGTGCTTCTCGGCTTCTCTTTCTCTTCGGCCCAGCAGCGACCGCACGCCCCGCCTCCGCCTGCCTGGCGATAGGACGCTTCGCCGAGGCCTCTGTTTCCCGTTCGTGCCATTTATTCATGAACCGTGCTACCCCTCCATCGATCTTGCCGTACCACTCATCCTGGTCCTCGACTTCCATTCTTTTCACTCCCCTTTTTCATCTTCCATGCCGAACGTCACGAGGTCCTCTCCTAGGCGGGACACCCAGTCGCCCTCCTCCCCCCCGGTACCCCTTGCCCCCGCCATCGTTCCTAGCAGAAGGCGCTTGGGGACGGTCGTCCTCCATGCGAAGAAAAAAGCCTGCGAAACACAGTCCCCGATTGCGCATGGTGGCCTTGATGGTTTCCTCGCAGTCGGTTTAGACGAAGGCCTGGGCGTAGGGTAGGGGGCGGTCAGTGCGTTTCCGCTGGCTCCAGTCGATGCAGCGCGTGAAGAATTGGCGGTGGGTCCAATCCGTTTGGTGTCGTGGTGCGCTATCAAGATCCACGAAGGACGTCTGTGCAGGAGCGTCTCGACCACTTCGGCCTGGAGTGGGCGAACCTTGAGGCGGCAGTCGACGCGTCGCCTGTCGTACATCACAGCGCCGTTCCGGCTGAAGCATTTCCACGCTCGGCAGATGCAACTTGTGATGCCCCTCCCTGTCTTTCCGTCCGCGAAGATGGTCTGCCCGAGGAACACAAGCCTATCCGTCTGCTTGTACGTCTGGCCGACCGCACTGACCGTAACAGGCACTCCTCCGTTCCTTTCGGCAGCAGGCACATGATCGCCGTCTTCGGTTCTGATACCATCAGTTCGCACAGGCATGCCACGCGCACGAAGATCGACGCCATCTTCTCGAGGCTCTCTGGCGCATGTGACACAATGCCCGCGTCGTCGGCGTGCAGCATGCCCCAAAGATCCTTTGTGTCCGCCACTACGGCGGTGGTTTTCTTGCCCTTCTTCCTCCCGATGCCCCCCGTACATACAACTGGCTTCTCATTCTTCACCATATCCGCCATCACCTCCGTATCCTGGGCGAACTCGTCGGCTGGGACCATTAGCATCCCGTCAAAGAACGGGTTGAATATCAGCGATGCAGATTGCATTGTCGGAGGCCCTGGCCCACGCCGAACCAGTCGGAACAATTCCGTCATCTCCGTCATTCGTCTCGCCCTCATGCCATCGTGGAAGTGGCGGATGACCGCCAGCGTCTTGGGAGGCACGTCGCTTCGAAGATTGCAGCACGTCCCACAGCAACTCTCGGTCCACCGCGTCTTAGGCCTTGGTGAGGTCGACGAAGCGCGCGACGATCGCAGTGCATGTTTTCCTCGCCAGCTCGTGGAGCCACCGAACCACGAACAGCATGTCGAGCATGGAGCGGTGTGGGCGGAAGCCGCTCTGTTCTTCCGGGAGATGCCCTCTCGCTCGCAGTGGTGGCTCAGTTTTGTGACGATGAGGTTGAGTAGCACGTTGCCAGCGCGTGCTACGAGGGGGGTGCCTCGATAGTTGACGCACTTAAACGTGCCTACCTTCGTGATAAAGACCTTAATGGTCGCGTCCTTCCACTCATGCGGCAGCTCCCCCGTCTACCACACGTCCACCACGATCGCGTGGAACTCATGGAGGAGGCCTTGATTTCCATTCAGGAACAGCTCGGCATGGAAATCGTCCGGCCCGACGGCCTTCCCGTTAGCTTCCCCGTGTCGCTTCCTCAACCGCGAGCAGGGACGGTATGTCGTCGAACGGCCTTCATGTAGGCCATTCCCTGGCCCTGTAGGCCATTCGCGGATCGAGGGTGGGCGACTTGGTGCTGAGGAGCTTGTGGAAGTGCCTGGCCCACCCCCCGCGGGCGAGCGTGGTGTCCCGCAAAACCTTGCCGTGCTCATCCTGGATGTTGTGGGCGATGAGTTTTTATTTTTTTCCTCAACATCGATCCCCTTCAAGTGCGTCTACAAAATCGCTCTTCTTCGCGAGCGGCCGCACATAGCCCTCGAAGAATTTATCTACCGCTCTCTGTCTCGCAATATTGCGTTTCTTCATCGCCGCCTTGAGGGCATCCTTTGGGCACCTCTCGAGGTCGCCGTTCCGTGTTTATCCCCTTTGACGCTACCTCGATGTGGAGCCGCGCCGCGGTGGTGTACCAGCCTCTCTGGCCTTCTCTTCCTCTCTCTCATACCGAGACCCATCTTTATGGGAACAAAATCTTTTCGATAAATCTTGGCATTTTGACCCAAGATTTGCTCACAAAATATCTCCGCCAAGATTTGCAGTATCCCGATTTATGGGGACAACATTTTGAATGTAGAAAAAGCGGCGTGTTGTTCTTCTCGTCTGCTTGAAGTTGATAAAGGCACAACGGCCACTTGGTTCACAGAAAATGCCACGGTGTGGCGAAATGTGAGCGTCACGCAGTCGTAGAAGGGGCGTCCCTCCCCCAGCTGTATTGCTTCAACACTTAGGGTGGATACTAACGATGGGCGCCAACCTGGGGTACAAAATAGAAGTCGTTGCCCACGAACTCATGTCAAGCGGAGAAACAAAATTGTTCCATTGCCATCCAACTGACAAGAGAGTACATCAACCCGAAGCCGATGACGCCGGTGCGCGTATGTCTCACTATCTAGCAGGCGTACCGAGTTCAAACCTCTGGCGCTGTCATCTGCACTCACGGATCTGGCTCGGGGGCAAACGGATTGGGTGTGGGGTGATTCGATATAGAGAAAGAAGGTCCTCCTCTTTTTTTCTGCTCTAAAATAAGTACTCTTTGAACGTTTCCTTGACATACTGGTGATGACGGGCGTGGAACGAGCTAGGGAAAATACGCATTTCTTTCCCGCGCCTTGGTCGTTTTCGATCGATGTCTGCGCCAGTGGCGCCGACACAGTGACGCCAGGGTGCCTTAGAGACCCTTGCGAGTGTGCCACGTGCAGATTTCATGGCGTTATGGCCGATTAGGTTGACTGACCTTCGGTGATCTCGCCGCACCCAGGCAAGATTTGTTACGCGGCCTCAAGATTTGTCAGAAGGCTCATTTCGACAGATCTTGGGTCAAGATTTCTTCGAAAGGGCAGATTTTAGGCTTCGAGAAATTGGCCAAGATATACCGGAAGATCATAAATCGTGAAACTGGCAGAACTTGGCCAAGATCAACATTTGTCGACAGGATCTCGTTCCCATCAATCGGGGTCTGAACGAATTTTTTTCTGCCTTGAAGAAGTTCTCCCGCATGTGCGCCAACGCATGTAGGCGTGTCCGCGTCCCTTCTGCTCGCTGCCGCGGGCGCATGTGCGCACACCTCGAGCGGGACACGTGAGAAAGGGGTTGCAGCCCCCTCCCAGTGGGGCAAGTTTGTGTGCAATGGGTAGCTGTAACTAAATTTTGAGACCGAGCTTCACACCATACTTAGCTTTGCGGTGTCCACTGTGCATCCTGCTGTAGACTACAAACTACCGTAATTCGACTAACGAACCTATCGGGGAGGGGATTCTCCTTTCTGTTTGAAAGTTCACTACCCCGGGCATGAATTGGCAAACACGGGGGGATCTATTACTTTTTCCCATCATTTCTTCGGGGGGAAATCTACCCCGAGGGGAACAGACAAAGAAACAAGCACAATTGCACTACTCGTGATGGAATAGATATACGAGGAGACGTTCAGGAGAATAAGGAAGGAGAACAGCACGTGGGGATCACCGGCCCCTTCCGGTCGTGACGCTGACCCCCAACCAAACAAGCTTGGTTCTAAACCCAGACAGTTCCCGCACCGCCATTCCACCCACAACGCTTGAGCGGTGGCAAGGGTATATCCGTGTATTATCCGCAGCTCGTACGAGAATCGCCAAAGCTAGGGTTCGGGTTTTAGGGTTAGGGCCCTTCTTTCTTGTTTGGTTGGGAGTCAGCGCCACCACCGGAAGGGGCGAGGGATCCCTACGAGTTGTCCTCCTTCCTTTTCCCCCTGAACGACTCCTCGTATGTCTTTTCCATGGACGCGCCAGCTCTGACGCTTTGAAATGCTTCAAAGTCACGGAAAATGACGCCGAAACAAAACAACAGCGGGGATATCTGGTACAAAGAACAAATAACCCCGGCGGGAACAAAGAACGGGGAGGGATTTTTTGTTTTGTTTTTTTTATCCCAATATACCCCGGGGATACGACAAAGTTTCGACATCTTTTCGGCGAAATTGGGGGGGGAGGAGGGGTCGACACTGTAGGGTGGGGTTCGCGAGTCAAATTATTGTATCTGGATCTGTTCTTCTGGTGGATCATGTTGTTGTTGTTGCTATTGTTGTTTTTTGTTGCGGTTGTTATCGTGGATGTTTTTTGGAATGGTCACGCACCACCACGCACTTTCCCACCCGACCCAATACCACTGTAACCCCAGTCCAAGCCGAAGGGGCTCCAGCAGACGCTGTGGTCGCCAAAAACTGGCCATGAACGCGGCTTTCTGCACGCCCGTCAGAATGCAACATTAATTAGCTGCTGGTGGTGTGCGCTGCGTCAACCGATCAGAGGGCGGAGACGAGCTGGTGGAGATGGCCATAGTCTTAAAGAGCTGCAGCAGTATGTTTGCACTCCGGATCTCCGGATTGTAGTGGTCGTCTGGCGAAGGTTTTTAATAATGTTATTCAGGGCACTGTACGGTGCGGATTGGACAATCCGCGTCGCGCCTGGCTTTGCCTCTCACGGATAAACCGGACCGCTCCGCTCCGTGATTATTTAAAAACAATCCGTCGGAGTTTGTTTTTCCTAGCGATATTGACCAACTCTGTTACTAACCGCACGGATTGAACCGTTTATCGTTTTTCCCCTCGGAGGATTTCAGGTACGAGTTGAATCGTTTTTTGTTTCACGGATATCGTGGTGTATGCAAGGGTTTGTCAGGAGCAGAATTCTGGCCACCTTGCCCCCAGCGTGGAGGAAGTTTCGATATTTGTCATGATTTTTAGGGGGGAAAAAACATAGTACTGACAAAACAGAAAACTGTGTTAGGTTTTGAGGTTGTTCACTTTTTGCTTCGGCTCCTTACCCGTTCTGTCTATGATACCGGCCAAGTTCACACCCATGTGTGCTCGTGATAAGAAACCTATGAGCGCATCGCAGGGGCAGCCTAGGGCCAAACATGATGTAGCAACAATGTCTCACGCCTTATAACTCACCAAACTTGCCCTTGGCCCGTGAAGGCAGTCTATTTGCTCCAAGACCCGGATCATGGTCACATATCTGTGCTCAATCACCCGTGATGTCCTCCAGAGGTTGTGAAGCTCGGGTGTGCGTGGAAGACAGTGGCACACGTTGGCCCGAGTCGTCCTGCCCTGCACTTGCAGAATGCGGCCCGCAAGCGAAGAAATCCAGGCTCGAATTCCCCAGTTAGTTGTAAATTGGGGGGTCGTTTTGCGGCTAAAATAAAATCCTAGTAGTTTCTTGTAATGTGATGTGATGTGATGCGAAGGAAACGACTTGATTCCAGAATGGGAATCTGTGATTTTTTCCAACTGGCGGATTCCCCTATCTACACATCACAAACGTCGTCCGCGTGAGGTTTTCGGGCATCCACAGCTCGTAGTCGCGCTACAGTGTCGTTCCTTCGATCGGCGAGAGGTGCATCAACTCTGGGTCTGCTCGAAAATAAAAATCGGGGCAACACAAATAGTATTGGGCAGGGGTGCAGTTTTTTGTCACTGCGGAGCATTCTCCGCGTCGGTGCGCAGCTTCGTGTGCCACCCTCTCCTCGCGCGGTCGCGGCGCTCCTCCACAACGGAGGAGGAGAATTCTGTCGCCTCCGGCCCATTTCTCTCCACGTTTTTTCGTTCTTCGGTCCAAAAATCAACACAGACCTTAAGGGCCCTGGGTAGGAATACTGAAAAAAACAGGGTACGTCGGGGGCACGGTCACTTGCATTATTATATGTCAGAGCCCAGAATGAGCTCGGCCCTCAGCATAGGGATCCTCCATCACCATTTTAGTCCATACCAAAGTGGCTTGCAAGTCGCTACAGACTGGAACTCCGCAGGTTGTGAGCAGATGTCTGTAGGCCGGGCTTGGACTGCTGGAAGAGCTACAGTAATTTCACACTTAATTTCAAATCAACCGCAAAGAGAGCCCCACCGGAGACGTTTGGTGCTGCTTTGACTCTAGAAGTAGCCGCTCACAAGCAATCACAGTCCTTACCGCTGCTCTAGTTCAACTGCCATGGTGTCTGAGAGTCTTCGCATGCCCTGGAAAGCATCTCGCTGGATACGTGCGAGCAATTCTTCGGGACTGGAAGTTGATACTTTTTGTCATAAAAAAATAGAGATTTCACGCACGCACTTCAATTCACGGCGAGGTGCTGTGTGCCATCCCCACTTGGTGTCAGCGATATTTCGCTATGCACTAGCAGCAGTACGATGCTGCAGATGCCAGGAGGCTGTGTAGCCTACCTCAGAGGTTCACACTCGGTGCGTCTCCAACCGCGAGAGACTTGGAATGGAAATATGAAGATGCTTTTATTAGTTGCTGACTCCCGAGTCAGATGTTGCTGGTACTGAAGAGGAGTGAGAAGAGTGGGCCAGCTTAGGGCTGGACCACTCTTCTCGAATACCGGACAAACAAGCCAATCACACAAAAGATCCAGAATGCTTCCAGAATGATTTCTGGAAGCCCTACGACGTTCTAGAAGAGTATCAACTGCAACCTAGATCTAGAACGCGTACAGAAGGAACCAGGAGTTTCCAGAAAGGCTTCCAGAAGTTACAGAAGGAACCAGAAGTTTCCAGAAGGCTTCCAGAAGCTACACACGTTCTACATAGATGTCCCGGTCAACCTTGACCTAGCATGCTTCCGGAATATTTCTAGAATAAGAGAATACATGGCAAGGAGAGATGGATAATTTTCTATTGCTACGCAGACTAGTTGCTGCAATCGTATTCAAAGGTCAAACCGTGTCCGACTACTGGTGGTCTCGACGCACGATTTTCCTGACACGACCCCTCGGTCAAGCAACTAATTCACAATGGTCGACGGCATCACCATATCCTTGTCTACCTCGACCCCTCCGTTGGCATCGTATCGAAAATAAATTCCTTCTGGTATGGCGGGTATGGAAGGAAGCTTCACAGATCTTCGATCAACACGAGAAGTCCTTGATCTGCTGAATGATGGAGGCGAATCGGTGCTTTGGGAGGTACTTGGTCGCGATATCAGCCAACTGGTGCTCGCTGAGCCGGTGGTGAAGAGTGATTTGTCCCCGCAGTACTAGCTCCCGGATGAAAAAGAACG